CTCCACATTCACATGCATGCATTCGTCAACCCCACGCAAAACAACAAAACGGAAGAAAAAATATTGTTTATTTTTGAAAGAGAAGAGTCATCGGCTGGTAGGCAGCCGCCCGACAACCAGCCCACACCCCGTTTCTCACCGTCCCCAGCGAGCATTTCCCAATGTATTTCCCCTTACCTTATTTTGTCTTATCCCATTTTCTCTGGTCCACCCCCTTGGTTGACCTTCCCCTTTTATCGTACTGTATTCCCTTTAGAGTCATAGCATATCGCCCTTTTTGACACATGTTTCCCTAACTATAGTACATCCTTCCTATCGGTCTCGTGACACACGTCCCTTTTTAACTATGGTACAATTACCCTCCCTAGTACTAGGACACCCGGCATAGCATTCTATGCCCATCTCCGTCTTCTCATCCTCTTTTCGCGTCTCTCTCTCTTCCGTTTTCTCTCCTTACTGTCAAGTTTGAGTCGCAGAGCCTTCCTTGACGCATTCCTTCTTTCGCTCAGCCTGCGTTTCCTCAATTGGCCAGTATCTCCGTCATCCTCTCTTGGTCGTTTCTTATTCTTAGGGGTTTTTGGTAGGACCAGTTTCCGAACCTTATACCCCTTCTTCGATGGTCGGGAAGAGGCCTTTTGTTTTGATGTCTCCCCTTTCTTGTGGGTCATGGTCACCTTTGTGTCAATAGCTTATTTTCCTTTCCGCCCCGGCTCTCCCCCAAGGGTCTCTCGTGATCGGAAGATTTTGAGACGAGCCCCTGCGACAGGATCCCGTAGCCTACTCCCATCTAATTTCGTGAGCATGTATGCTCCCCCATCCAATCTCTTCATGACCTTATACGGTCCCATCCATTGGTTTGCCAATTTTCGGCTCCAGGTCTTTTCTAGTGACGAATCGTACATTAGCACCAGGTCGGTAACCCCTATTGGCGCCTTCCGGTCACTGTTCGGCGCGACCTTTGCACCATTTTGCTAGAGCGTCCACGAGCGTCTGGTGCCCCCTTTCTACCGGTATATTGCTTTGGGGGTGATAAGCGGTCGTATAGGCTGCCTCGATCCCTGCCCTTTCTAATAATACCTTGACCTTTTGGCTCCAGAACTCTGCGCCCCTATCCATGACTATCCTCTCGACACACCCGTACCGCGCTATGTACTCAAGAAGAAAATCACTTACCTCCTCCTCCGTCTTCTTCTTAATGGCCTTTGCTTCTACGAATCCGGTGAGGTCATTGCGGGCGTTGATTATATACCGAAGTCCGCCGACCCCTTTCGACATGGTTACCAAATCCACATGGACCTTTTCACCCGGGACCGTGGGAAGCGATGGAACCAAGGGCTCTTTGTATCGAATTGTCGCCCTCTTCTAGCAAGCCTCACACGTTGAACAATACTTTTTCACTTGTATTGCCCGTCCCACCAATAAAGCCTACGGACCTTATCGAAAGTACCCTTCACCCCCCTGTGGCCTCCAACGATGCCATCATGTAGTTCCTCTATGACCGCCCTTCTTTCCTCTGGATCGCACAGTACCCTCATGGGTATCGCAAACTTGGTGGGCCTCTTGAAGAGATGGCCCCCTCGCAGGCAATACCCCAACGCCTCTTGCTAGATCCTTCCGGTCCCTATTTCCCTATCGGTTAAGTACAGTCCTATGTCTCGGTACTTCCCGTCGTAGAGATTAGCGAGAAAAGTCCTGGGGCCCCCTTCTTCTCCTCGGCTGCTCCCCGCTATTTGTGCCCTATTAGCGGCGACTTTCATTATTTCCTTTTTGGCTATTGTCGCTTCTTCCTCCTTAAGCCTAGGTAGGTCCTCCTCACGAATGGGAAGCCGGGATAACCTGTCCGTGACCTGGTTCTTGGTTCCTGATATCCTCTCGACCCTATAGTCGTAAAGCCTAATGTGTATCATCCATCGGGTGAGGGTCGGGTCGGTCAGCAAGAAATCCTTTTGAAGGACCGCCGCTACTGCAGTTGGGTCCACTCTCAGAAGAAATCGTCATCCGTATAGGTAATGACGGAAGGCCTTTAGATAATGCAATACCCCTAATACCTCCTTTTTGAATTGGCTATAATTTCTCTCGGCGGGGTTCAAGGTCCTACTCTCGAATCGCAGGGGTCTCTCTTTCCCTTCTCCGTCCTTTTGAGACAGGAGGCCCCCTACCGAGTTAGGCCCTGCATCTGTGGAAACTATAAAGGGGCGATGCTTCTCGTCTTCGAAGAACGGAACTCCTAGGACCTTTCCACCTTCGCGGAACTCCCCCTTCAAAGCTTCCATGGCCGCGTTTTGTGCTTCCCCCCAAACCCATCCTTCTGATTTCCTAAGGAGTCTTCTAAGGGGTTCCGCTTTCTCTCCATAGGCTTTTATGAAGATTCTCCAATAGCCCACGAGCCCTAGAAACTGTCGGACCTCCGTTATGGACTTGAGTGGTGACGGCCAGGTCATCAATTTTACTAATTTCTCGGGATCGGGCCTCCGCTCATCCTTATCGCAAATGAACCCTTATATCTTGATGGAGGACACGCCCCAACGACTCTTAGTCCCGCTTACCGTGAGGTTGGCACCTTCTAACTTCTCGAGGACGTTTCTGACATCACTCATGTGGTTGGCCACGAATTTTCTCACCCCCGGGAAGACCTCCGTCTCATCCCGTTCGACCGGCTCTTTTATCGGGAAGTCATCCAGGAAGACCTCCACCTTTTCCAGTATGAACTCCTTGAGGACCACGATCATGGCCCTTTGGAATACCGCTACCCCATTCGTCCAACCCATTGGCACCACCATCCTTTGGACCAACCCTAGCAGCGTATGCATGGGGGTCATATGCCTATCGCGATAGTCTAGGGGGATCTCGTCATACCCAAAGAAGAGATCGCAGATCGAGTATATCGAGCGACCTGCCGACCCTTCTGCTAGCAAGTCGGCCTCGGGTATAGATCCCACGTCTCGTATGGTGACCGCATTGGTCCTCTGGAGGTTTTGAATCCATCGCAGTTTGTTGCTACCCCCCTTTCTTAGAAAGAACCACTTATTGGAGTAGGCACTCTTGCAAGGTTCCGCAACGAACGTCCTGATCTTTTCCTTGATAAAAGCAACTATTTCCTCCTCCTTTTGAGCATACTTCCACTGAGGCCTATCCTTCCAAGGCACGTGCGGGACCGTGTGGATCCGGGCCGGCTTAGCATATCTGGGGTCGATTCTCCCTCTCTCCGAGTCATCAAAGGCAATGGCCTTATCGCAGCCCCTTAAGGTCATGGCTATGAACTCTTTCTCTTTCTCCGTGAGATTCCCATCCCCTATATCCATCTTGGCCAACCTATCGGCCGTTATCCCTTGCCCTTCAGTCTCTTTCCTTTTCCGGATGATATCAGCGATCTCTTCCTCCGATATTGTAGCTTCCCCCGTTCTATCCCAGCTGACTGCGACGGGTTTTACTTTCTCCGCCACGGTTTTGTGCTTCTTAACTCCGCCGGCTAGGGGGATACCTCCAAAAAAGACATACTCACGCATCCACCGAACTCCTCGTCCTCGTCCTCCTTCTCGTACCCCATATCGTTAATCACGATTCTACCCCCTACATCCTCGACCTCCAATTGGTCTCCCTTGGGTCCCCTATCCGTCAAGGGCACCTCCTCCAAACGGACTCGGCACACCCTCGACTGACTCCCCTTTCGTCTAGCAATGCTGGTCCGGTTACGCTCATCTTGCGCGTCTATGGTCTTTAGGACCACTCGGATTCCATCCGGACTTTGGATCGAGAGGGTCCGACTTCCATCCGGTAAATCAACCGTGGTAGCATGAACCGCGCTCGGCCAGGTCCTCCTTTACCGAAAAGATTGGGACCGTGCCTCTACGCCAGCGACCTCAATCACGGGGCTATGATACACCCCTTCCGCCGGTTGCAGCTTGTTATCGGCCACTACCATTGACATTGATACCCCTCGATCTATCTCCAGGCCCAGTTCCTGTGCGATGGAGTCCCTACACACCGTAGACTCGGACCCATTGTCGACTAGAGCCCTCATTTTCTTCCCACTTACCACTGCCTGGAGTTGGCCGCTACCTAACACATAGAATTTCTTGGCCTCTTCTCCCGAGAAGAAGTTGGCAGGTAGTTCCTCCATGGTAATGCGGGGGGCATGTACTTCTTCCTTGGCTGGACCTTCCACCGCCACAGTGGGCCCTCCCGCGAGCGGGACCCTCACCTTCCTCGTGATGCTTAGGAGTTCTTCTCTGGCACTTTTGCTGGCAGCCAGGTATTCCAAAAGTGTGCACTGCATAGGCTGCATCAGGATTAACCTAAAGGGGGCTACCGTGTCTATCTCATCCAGAGTGCACTTCATTTCGAACTTTTTGGGCCCCCTCTTTTTAGGCGATTTGGGCGTGGTGGGCTCTTCCTTCTTTTCCTCCACCGCTTTTGCATCGGTCATTAGTTGGTCATTGTCGCCGCTCCTCACTTCCGTACCCTCCGCCACGCTCCCTTGGCTCTCGGGCGTGTCGGTCCCAACCTGCGTTCTCACCCTTAGGCAAGGCCTCTCTTCCTCGGGCTGGGTTTCAATGAACTTGATGCTTGACACCTGGGGTTCCCTAATAGACAACCCCCCCGGTGACTTCGTCATTTGGATATGGGTTGTGTTGGAGGAGCTCCCTATTTCCGGTTTCTTTCCCAGCCTAGCCTCCTGGAGGGCCACCCTTTTGTCCACGTTCACCTTCATTGATGGGTAAAAGGAGACCGCCTCTCCGCTATCTCCCCACACAACCCACTTGTTCTCATTCAGTTTGACCACCCCCAACCTTAAGGCCTCCGTGAGATAAGGGCAGTCCCTCTTGATGTGATTTTCTTTATTGCAGTAGACACACCCACTTCGAGCTTGCGGGTTGCTGGGACGCGGACCCCCTTGTGTGGTCGCCGCTATAGGCGCAGGCGGAGCCGGTGGTGGTGGTGCTGGCGGTGGTGGTGCCCTAAGCTCCGGTCGCGGCCCAGAAGCCCTTGCTTGAGGGGCATCCCCCCACCTTTCATCCCTCGCATCCTTCCAATAGGAATTCCCCCAATCGGAGCCACGATTCTCCCCTATCTCCCGGTCGTTCTTCCAACCTCCTTGGGCACTCGATTCGTTCCTCCATCCGGTCGGCCGTTCTCCCCACCGGGGAACAGGGGGACCCGGGGGTGGCCTATCGCTCCCCCTTGGACCATCGTTCCGCGTGTCTCGCATGTTGCGGAGTGCCATGTCCAAGGTCTCTTTCATGTACTCCCTCACATTCACTTCTCCCCCTGTGAAAACCACCTCGGCGACTTTCTCGAAATTAGCAGAATCCCTCGGGGCCTTTTCAAGGACCTCTTTCCTCTTTTCCTCGGGCAGGTGCAACATGAACATCACGCGCCTATCCACTTCAGACAACATCCCCCTATCCATTAGGGCTTGGGACAGGCGCTTAAACCTACGGGTGAAGGCCACCAAGCTCTCTCGTTCCCCCCTTGTAATTCGTTGCAAACCCTCAACGGTAGGGATCACGTCATCACAGGCGAAAGTCCGCAATAGACTCGTCCGGAAGGTCCTCCACCAGCTATCTGTGGGGTAGATAGTTCAAATCGCGGGGTCTAACTCAGGGTCCGAGTGCTGGATGAAATAGTCGATCCACTCTCTTTCGGAGAATCTTTTACGATAAGCATAACTTTCCCATTTTTCCACGAACCCAGTCACATCTCGTCCGTCGAAGAAAAGTGCCTCCAGACCCAGGTTGACGTCGTAGTAGGGGCCTCGTCGGTCGTCGTACCGCCGAAAAGGGACCTTCCATTGGCCCATCGATTGCCGGGTCGTACGGCTTGTACCACGAGGGATCCGGCTCCTCCATCCTAGCCCGGGGTCTTGACGGTCCCCAGGGGTCTTCCCCGTAGCGGCCTTGCTCATTCGGCCAATCCGTCTCCCACCGAGTGTGGTCCTGCCCCCTAAAGCTTCTCCAGGCCTCCACCCGTTGACTCCTGCCCGTTATCTCGCCGGAAGCCCATGCAGCATCCGATTCTCTTCCGGCCCATCTCCGTGGCCAACTTCCAGCCTCCGCCGGCCTCTCGTCTCTAAGGTCCCTTCTACTCGGTCCCCCTTCCTCTTCTCTCCTGGGTGGCCGGTACCCCACCCTATCTCTTGGAAATTCTAGAGCCTCTCCCATTCTCCCATCCGGTAAATCCGCCCACCGAGACTCTATAGGAAGGCCCCTCGAGCCCTCGATCGCCCCTTCTCTCACAGGCATTCGCATTTCTGCGTCAGTTCTTTGCCCTACTAAAGCCTGCCTCTCACAGGCGACGGCCTCCGGGATCCTTTTGACCCATCTTCGCGGCCTGCCGCTGGCTTTTGCTGACCTCCCTTCTCTTAAGTCCCTCCTGTTCTGACACTCCTCTTCCTCCCTCCTAAGTGGCCGGTACCCCTCTCTATCTCTATGAAACTCCCGCGCTTCCTCTATCCTTGCTTCAGCATCCGCTAGGTCCGCCCACCGGGATTCCACCGGAATGCCTCTTGCGGCTTCGGTGACCCCTTCGTTCAGCGGCACCCACGGCCCCACATCCTTGTGCACTCGCACCTCCGTGCTAGCCCTCTGTCCCTCTGAGGCCTGTCTTTCCCCCGAAGCTGTTTCCGGACCCCTTGCGGCCCCTCCTAGCGTCTCAATTCCCTCAGTCATTCCTTCCACCACCCCACTTAGCCTAGCTCCCAACTCGGGGCTCTTTACCACCCCCCTTCTCTCGGCGGTTTCCGGCGGACTAGAGAGACCTGCCTCTACATCACTCTCCATGCACCCTTATTGGCAATTTCTAGTAGCTTCCCTCACTATCGTTATTTCCCGGCTCGTCCCCCTCACTATTGTCGGTGCTATCTTCCGAGTCCTCTTCTTCCTCCGATCCCCCATTCTCTTCACTAGAATCCTCGTGAGCCCCCTCTCTCTCCGACTCCTCGCTGGTCACGGTCCACCAAGAATCCCTCAGTTTCTTCTCCTCGCTAGCGGCCAACGCCAGATTTGCGATCTTCAGGTCCGAGATGCGCCTAATCCCTTCTTGTGCACACCTCCTAATCAAATCCATGTCCACCTCACCAGCTTGTCTGGAGAACAGGGGCTTGATGAATTCTCCAACGCGCGCCCACCATTCGAAGTCGGTGTCCTCTCTCGACTCCCAGCGCTGGGTGAATAACTCGTGCCCTCCTTCTTCCCCTAAAGGAAATTTCTCTATCACTTGCCCCCTAAGTCGGACCTTCCTTACGGTCGCTCGTCAGTATAGAGTAGTCGGTAGGCCCAGGTCGGGATTTCCCAAGTTCTCCCGTGAGCGGCCCTCGAAACTTCTGATATCCCTCGGTACTCCACTTTGTCGGCCACGAGTCCGTTGCCGCCTCTTAACCTCCTCACTCGGTCAAGTGCCTTGCGGGCGATGCCCAGGGGGTCTTTTCCCTCAGCCAACTCAGTCGCAAAGACTAGCCGGTCGTATGGGGATAAAAGGATTCTGCTGAGCCGGCCGCGACCGCGGGAGAAACGCTCATCCCCGGCAACGACGCCACTTTGTCGGGGAAAAGCCTCCTCTCTCTCCCGTTCTCCTGGTCTGCTTAGTTAGCCCGTTGGCCGGGGCCTGCTTGGGACAAAGTAGCTAATGAATCCTCCAGGGCGCCCGAGGTTTAAAATTTTTCCTTATTCACTTTCTCTCTTTTTCGGGGGTAAGCCCCCGCGACAAGAGCACTCGAGAGCTGCGAAATTCTGCGACCGATATATGAACCAGGACACCGTAGACTCAGAACACAGGAGATCCGGGAAGTTTTATGGCTACAAGCATAAAGACCCAAAACCAGCGGGCGCACGCAAACCCCCGCGAGTAGAGACCATGGGTGCTCGAAACCTGGGAAATCAAAGTATTGAGAGACAGGGAAATCTCAAGAGTTTGAAAGAGGATACCTCACATTGACTAGCTATCAGCAAAACCTGAAGGGAAGGCTGTAGAACTTAGACCGGCGGAAAGGAAACGCGAGAAAAGAGCTTGTAAACTTAATTACCCAAGAACATGGGGAAAGTAGCGAGAATCGAGCGGGAAAGGGAGAGGCTAGTTGCTCGAGTTCAACGAAAAACGAACGGGAAATAAAGAAGATGGGTGCGTATCCTCAACAAGAACCCAGACAGAAAATAGAAAAAACGAGTCTGCAATCGCCCACAGTTACCCAAGAAGCGAGCGAGTTTAACAACAGATGGACAGGCCAGGTTGCTATGGCTCAACCGGAATCCGAAAGAATAACAGAGAAAGCAGACCGTCACCAAAAACAAAGAAGTGGCTTTGCCTTTGCCGACGGCAGGTCGCAACCAGCCAGAGCTGAACGAATTGATAGATAAGTTGGTTCGCCTTCACACACATCAAGTCATTATTGACGAAGAACGGAGAGGTGGCTTTGCCTCTGTCCACCGCAGGCCGTAAACGACGAGAAGCAAGTTCGCCACTGCCGATTGCGGCTTGCTCGAGCGAAAACAGGCGATTCGCGCCCGAGGAGGAGTGCTCGCTACTTTTCCCGGCCGAGCGCTCCCCCCTTTCTCCCCAAGTCGCACTTTGCGAGCGCCCCCCTCTTTCCCTCGCCGTTCCCTCCCCCGTCTCAACACCCGCTTCGTCGCCTACCTCTCCCCAGCGATATCCGAGAACCCCCCCCCCTTTGGGTGAGATGGCCAGCGAGTTCAAGGGTGGTTCCCTCGCTCGTTACCACCCCTTCTCCGAAGTCTGGGATGCTGAACGGCGAGCACGCGACACCTCGTGACCTGGAGCCGAAGGGATCGCCATGCCCGAGCTCCCCTTCATTCCTCGTTTAGCCGAGCACTCGTACGCCCGCTCACCTCCCTCCAAGTCTCCTTCCCGTCGCCCTTACCCTTAGGCCAATCCGGCGCGCGGTCCGTCCTTCACTTCTTACTTCTGCATATCCCCACCCTCTCTCTCTCTCTCTCTCTCTCTCTCTCTCTCTCTCTCTCTCTCTCTCTCTCTCTCTCTTTTGTTTGATCTTCACACCGTCGGGCCCGCCGAGCGCTGGAAGCGAGTACTGAGTACTCCGATGTATATGCACATGAGCACGCCCCAATCCCGAACTAGCAAGCGATGGCCGTCGAGCGCTTCTGGTAGTAGGTGCGTCACGAGCTCTTCAGAGCATCTCTTCCGTCGGGCGCCCCGCTCTCGGGACTAGCGTCTTCAGCCTCGGCACCCCCTTTCCACGACTGGTGCGTACTGCCGACCACGTCCGTGCACCTGCGAACGATCACAAGAACCTCTCCCGCACGTTGCTCCTCCGATTGCGGATCACTTCGAGGTCGTTCGTCACTCTCGCCCCCCCCCAGTCTTCGTACTCGTGCCCCGCTCCCGTACTCTTCTTCCCTGATACTCGCGGGAGGTCCGCAACCTCGAGCGCAAACGATCGCACGGCCGGTGCCCGCGCTGTTCCGCGTGCGCACCCCCTCCTTCTTCCCTCGATGTCTCCTTCTATCCCTCTCCCTCCCTTGCTAGGCTCTCTCCCTCGTTTTCTCGCACGGTTGGTCGAAGCGAGTCGTGCGCCGACTTAGCGCTGATTCACATCAC